GTCGTTGCGCTTCCTCATGCGTTTCGCGGTCATATACTCCTACGCCCGGGCGTTCGGTCCTACGGCCAGTCCGTTGTGTCCTCATGGGTCATTCGTCCTACGGGTTCGTTCGGTCCTACCGGTCGTTGCGCCTACGAGTTCATGTGTCCTACCGGGTCGTTGCGTCCTACGGTCCCGTTGGTCTTACGCCGGCAATTGTCCCTACGGGTTCATCCGCCGCCTATGGGTCAAAATCGCGTCCACGGGTCGTCTACCACGACCCGCTCGACGACCAACACGGGTAACATCCCAGGTTGGCCTACCTCCATTTCGCCTACGTCCCATTTCGCCTACTCCCATTTCGTTCTACTCTAGAGGGCAGAATCGGCAATTCTCCCTATGCTTAAAATTCTACCCCATCCCATTTCGTCTTATGATCGTTTGTTCACTTAAATAATTCATTTATATAATAATCAAATATGCGTTTTGTATTGCGCATACATAGACTGCAGGAACCAGAAGCAAAACATAGCATACAAATAATGAGAACGCATATATGTACATATACCGCGTTAGCCAAACACCCCATAATCATGAAGTTCACTTACCAAGTGGCCAGTAGTTTAGGACGATGTAAATGGAGTAAAACGGTATGACAATAGCGCCGACCGTCACGTCTGTGATGGCAAGGTTAACGATGTAATAGTTGAACGTCGTCTGCAACTTTTTCTCCATGGCAACGGCCGCCATGACGAGCGCGTTTCCAAACACCGTCATCGATATCCAGACCGCCAGCGCGACGATTGTCACAATATTCCGCAACGTCGCTCTAAACTCGGGAACTCGGAACGCTTCTAACAAAGTCTCGTTAGAGGTGATCGAAGAATTCTCGCGGTCGCCGTACGAGGACGCGGCGAACGCCATTTTGCGCTCGAGACAACACGCGTTTTTGCTCGCGTGTACGTTTCTGGCAAATTTCCGACCGTGCGTGCGATAGGTGTTCGCATGACGTGCGCATGTCCACCCACTCCCCCTCCTCCCCCTCGCACCTGCGCCCCCCGCCGTCACTCGCACTCACCACGCACCGAAATACGTTTATCGCACTTTGTGCCTGCGTACACAAATCTGGCGGCGGCGGCGACAACCTACAATAAAGACGATTGCCTGGTTAATTCACGGCGGTGTAATGTAGCTTTCTGATTTTCTTTCCCGTCCGATCTGCATCGAGATGTGTAGGACGCGTAATTTGACGATGAATGAAACGTTAAGTTCACAAGCCCTGTGTGAAAGACAGCTGATAAGAACCATGAGCGATATAGTTATGGTAACTATATATATCCAGGGGCGGACTGGCCCCTCGGGCAAATCGGGCCCATGGACCTAAAAAAAAAAGATTTTTTTTATATTTTAATTTTTAATTTTTTCAGTTTTTCTTCTTCATCGGTCGGTCTAAAAAATATTGTGCCCCAAATCCGAGGACTTTTTCCAATCCATAGGGGAGTGAGGGTTCCACCACTTTTTCAAAGTTCCAATCACCTACCTAACAACCTTATTTTTTGAATGGGTGATTTGGTGTAAAAATTTCAACACGGTATTCCTTATCGAGAATTTCTGATATTGCAGGCCTTTGAGTTTCACAAAGTCCGGACCTCCGACCGCGGTCAGTGGACCGGAGCCCAATCACAGGTATTGCCCGAAGGCCCACAAGGTTCCAGTCCGCCCCTGTATATATCAGTTGGTATATTATACCTGACAAGGCCAAGGTTGTTGCTAACTTCACGCTTCAAGGTTGTTTCACTCACGAGTTCTAAATGTATACGAAAAAACAATCACGTTCTGAATTCCTTCTTTTTTGACGCGGTATTGCCAACGATCTCACGAATTGCGGTATCTATCCAACTTCTTTTATTTACATTGTAGAATTTGACGGATGACCTTTCTAATTTCCGGATTACTGATACCGTACAGGACGGGGTTCAAGGTGCTGTTAAAATATGGCAGCCAGAACAGCAGCGTGTAGGTCGTGTCTGAAATGCTGTTCGGATCCGCCACCTTTACGTTAAGCAACACAAAGAAGACGCCCCAACAGAAAATAAAGGGTACCACTACGTAGGTGAGCACGACGAAAGTGCGTCGGCTACCGCCACGCCTCCCAGCGACGACGGCGAGTACTACCGTCGTCGGCACGGGCCGTCCGACCGACGCGCTTGCACTGTTTATCCTCGGCGACGTGACTACGACACCTGCTGATACTGCGTCTCCCGTCGGCCTCTCTTGCTCGGTTGTCCGGCTGCTGCTAGCCACGTTGCTAAAGTTAGTGGAAATACTGCGAGATGCTTGCCAAATGGCCGCCCCGTTCATTTTCGCGCGCTTTTTCACCGCGTAAAACACGCCGACGTAGCAGATGATTATCATCGGCAGTGAAGACTCGATGAATATCACCATCACCGAGTAAATGAAGACGCCGTTCCGAGCCGGATCCCAGAAGCAGTGGTATCGGAATCCGGGTAGCGTCGGATCGCTCCACTTCGGGTGTTCCCGGACGCGGTCGACAATCATCGCCGGTAGAATGAGGATGACGTCAAGCAACCAAACGACGCTGATGATGGCGATCGTCTTTCTCGTCGTGTTGTTGTTTCTGTAGTGAACACTCCAGGTGACGGACCACAGCCGGTCCATAGAGATGGCCAACATCGTGAAGATGGAAGCGGTGGTTACGACGTAGTCAATCGTAATCCACACAGCGCAGAAAAATTCTCCTGGATTGTAAAACGTATTTTTAGTTCAAACTAATCCCTGTTAAGTGCTACGCAATCGTCAGTTGCCACCGGAGAGTATTATCTTTACATAATATTAATTACATTATACAAAGTGAATTAATTATACATGAATTATACAAAATTATACAATAACTTTACATTAATTATACAAAATTATACAATAACTTTACATTAATTATACAAAATTAATTACATGATACAAAATGAAGTCACGTCGACCTGCACGTCGATGATAATTATACTGATAATGATACCAGAAGTACACATGTATTCTTGTTATACCATGCACTGACTGCAGCAGCAGCAGCAGCAGCAGCAGCAAGTCTGCATGTCTGCCCGCTCCCGCTCACGAATTTTTTTTCCCCACTTGAGTTCCGGATCCACCATAGATAGTGTTTTGTAATATATGGTTCGTATATATATGGTTGGATTATAGTTATAGTTAGTGTTAGGGTTCGGTTGCTGTTTAGGGTTAGGGTTAGGAAGTATTCATTTTACATTGTTGCTTCGAGGAAGTCGAGTGAATGGAGTGCGCTGATTGGCTGTGGTCCGGAACTCAAGTGGGAAAAAAAATTTCGCCTCCCGCTCGTGCATGGACGTACGCTCCACGGTGGGGATAGAGGTGGGGGTTCCTGTCAAGCTACTCTGTGCTTTGATTACCGTCATACTATATTTTATATGTACTATATTTTACGCTATTATGTTTACCTATACTCTAATGCGAACCGTAGTACGAACAGACAAACCACGTCTAAATTGCAGTCTAATAATAAAAAATTTTCATCAGACGAACTATCGGTATCCGCCATTTTGTATACTCACGCGATCTACATTAGCACTTATACCTTGAGTAATTTTACTCACGTGTGCGGCAGACGCTGAAAATATTTCACGTGAGTATTTTGACGCGTGCATGATTTATTGAGTAAAATTAGTCACGTGTGCGCCGGGCTTAACGATTGTAATTAGTGAAATGTGTGAAACGCACCGCTACTGTCGCTAAAAGCTACCATTGTATCGCTAATGGCAGTGTTAGCAAACTATCTTCTAGGAAAAAATTCCCGCATTTTTTGGCAGCTGAAGGTAGAGTTAAACCTGCCTGTTTTTGTGCTTTCAATGACAAAGTAGCGGAAGTACTAGACTCCCGATGTGAAAGAGAATGCTGCCCGCGCTAGTAAGGGAATACGACCATGCAGAGTTCGCGCAAAAATTAAATACCGTAGGACCAACGAACCGTAGGACTATAGACCCGAACCGTAGGACCAACGACCCGTAGGACCAACGACCCGTAGGACCAACGACCCGTAGGACCAATGACCCGTAGGACCAACGACCCGTAAGACCAACGACCCGTAGGACCGACGACCCATAGGATTATAGAATCTGAACCGGCCCTACAAGCGTCTACTGAATTCCTTACATGGAATACCCGTGAGATCCACGTATGGCTTTGTTATTTGCAATGTAGAATCATACGAAAAGCCTTTCGAAATTCCGAGCTACTGATACCGTACAGGACGGGGTTCAAGGTGCTATTAAAATATGGCAGCCAGAACAGCAGCACGTAGGTCGTGTAAGAAATGCTGCTCAGATCTATCGCCTTCATAGCAAACATGACGAGAAAAATTTCCCAGCAAAATACGAACGAGGCGAGAATGTAGGTGAGCGTAGTGAAAGTGCGTCTGCTGTTGCCACGGGTTACCTCGACGGGGGCGGTGGACGTTGTAGACGCTACATTTTGTCTGGCAGACGCGCTTGCCCCTGGGACGTTCAAGGACGCGCGAGGGTGATCCGCGCACATGCGTTCCATTGGAACGTTCTGTTCATTGTTGACGCGATTGTTGCTGCTGGTAGCGCTGGCAGCATTGTGCAAGTAGGCCGAGCTGGCGAGAGATGCAACCCGGTCAACAAGGGCCGCGCGACGAATTTTCGCGCGTTTTCTTAGCACGTAATACACGCGGAAATAGCAGACGATCATGAGGACGAGAGGAACCTGGTAGCAGACGAACATCACCGAGTAAACGAAGGCGACGTTCCGAGCCGGATCCCAGATGCAGTCGTATCGGAATCCGGGTAGCGTCGGATCGCTCCACTTCGGGTGTTCCCGGACGCGGTCGACAATTATCGCCGGTAGAATGAGGATGACGTCAAGCAACCAGACGACGCTGATGATGGCAATCGTCTTTCTAGTCGTGTTGTTGTTTCTGTAGTGAACACTCCAGGTGACGGACCACAGCCGGTCCATAGAGATGGCCAACATCGTGAAGATGGAAGCGGTGGTCGCAAAGTAATCGAACGTGATCCATAAAGCGCAAGCAAACTCACCTGCAATGTAAACCCATTTGATAATTGTTATTCAGCGCGTTCATGTATTGATTAGTGTTGTATAAACATGACCCGCGACAAGATATGAAGACCCGCGCGCCACTAAGGCCGCCGCACACTAGAGCAATACAGCTAATATATATATATATATACAGCAGCATCGCAGCCATCAACAACAGCAGCAGCAGCGGCGGCGGAAGGAGGAGTAGTAGAAACGGCGGAGCAGTAGAAACAACAACAGTAGCAGCCCAGCAACACACGCACCCACCACCAAAGCCACCACGCAAGCAGCAGGCAAAGCAGCAGCATCAGTAGAGCAACAGCAAGCCTAAGCACAAAACAGACAAGTAGCAGCTGCCAAGCGGGAACACAGCAGCAGCAGCAACACAGTACGCAGCCAGCAAGCAACAGCAAGCCAAA